TTATCTTAGACATTCTCATAAGACCTGAATATAGTCATGTACGCCAAATGTTTATTGATGGAGTTCAGCAACTGACCTGTAGTTTCTTTCTATTCTCTGTCCTTTTCAATGCACAGACAAATGCACTGAAATTATTGTCTGTTTTAATCGATGTTACAATACAGATACAAAGGATGGAAATTAGGTTGAAAAATGCTGGAGTATTCCTTTAAGTCAAAAGAGACGCTGTCTAATAAGAAGGTCCATGATCTCTCCTCCTATTGGTCAGTTTTGACTTTTCCAGCTAAGTGGGAAATCCTGCTTTTGTGAAACAGTGACCTTATAAAAAAGAGGACTGACAATAACTGTTGTAATTACTGACGAATACAGAGGCGTGAGTAAACATGAGGATACTGACCTGGCATTTTAAGGCTGAGTTATCATGAATGATGATGAAGTCATTTCCCAATGAATCTGTACAGTGCTACATTGTGCATGTTGTTTTAAGCACACAGATACAGAACAAAAAAATAAATATGAGTGATGAACTGGCAAAACATGGACACACAAAGGTGTGTATGTGTGTGCTACATCTTCAAGCGGACAGAAAGACAGTGAGTGCATGTGTGTGTGTATGTTTGTAGGGTGGTGCATTCTTCTCAGCTGTTTAGGTGAGCCCGATCTCCTCCAGTACACTGCGAGGGGTCTCTGCTTCCTGAGGAGAGTGAAAGGAACAGCAGCTCTAATCATCATCTCTCACACGGTGTGCACCACGGCTGTGTCCCAGTTCATCAGTGTGCACTTCACACTACAGATACAATACAGGCCAAGGACATGGAAGCAAGGAGTGTTTCTTGTTGTTGTTTACAAAATATATTTGGAAAACAATAAGAAAATATTTTCCAATGAAGTGAATCTGTCAAATGAAAAAAAAAAAAACCAAAACAAAAAAACCCAAATCTGTTCCAGTGATCCAGTTCAGGAAAAGAACGCTTCACCTTCGGATTCCCTGTGATCATTTAAACCTGGATTATTCTCAGTCTGAGAAACTAAACCTGGATTATTCACAGTCTGAGCATCAAAACCTGGATTAATCGCAGCCAGATTATCTAAACCAGGATCGATCACAGTTTGAGTAACTAAATCTGGATTAATCACAGCCTGAGAAACTAAACCTGGACTTATCACAGCCTGGGTATCTAAACATGGATTAATCAATCTGAATAACTAAACCTGGATTAATCACATTCTGAGTAACTAAACCTGGATTAATCCCAGCCTGAGTAACTAAACCTGGAATAATTACAATCTGAGTATCTAAACCTGGATTAATCACAGTCTGAATATCTAAACCTGGATTAATCACAGTCTGAGTAACTAAACCTGGATTAATCACAGTCTGAGTATCGAAACATGGATTAATCACAGTCTGAGTAACTAAACCTGGATCAATCACAGTCTGAGTAACTAAACCTGGATTAATCACAGTCTGAGTAACTAAACCTGGATCAATCACAGTCTGAGTATCTAAACCTGGATTAATCACAGTCTGAGTAACTAAACCTAACACCCCAGATCGATTAAGCATTCAGGAGCTTCTGAATATGAGAATCACGTGGCTCTGATTACAGCAATGAAACTCTGCAGGAGAATCAGCAGCAGCTAAACTAACACTATTGCTGCAGACACTTGCTTGTTTCATCATGTTCACTTTTACAGACTTAGTGTTGCTTACACACTTTTGGCCTGCAGTGTATGTGCTACACTTATATGGAGAAGGTGACATTGGTGTCCTCTCCTACTGTTTCACACCATCCAGTTATGACTCATTCACTCAGACATCCCATAATTCTTCATGATACGATTTTATGAGGCCTTCTCCCACTTCCAAATTTTCCAAGTTGGAAAAATGCCCAACTGAGGCTGGATCAGAGTTGAGATGGTGGACTGAGAAAGCAAATAAACTAGATTCTCTCCTTGCTCAGTGTGTACTTTAGGACTGAGGGGATCCTGTATGAGCACATGAAGAAACTACCATTCAATAGTTTGGGACAGCTGTTCAGAAGTTTAGGATCAATGTTTTAATAATATAAAACCAGGTAATTGTGCATAGAAACTATATGCTGGTCGTGTGCAACTTCACAGGCTCCAAATGATTAACAGGAGTTACTAAGCTGTAAAAATAGGTATGCTTAGAATGATAATATTTATAATAATATTTTTATTAAAACAAAACAAAAAAATGTTACTTAATTACAGAAGATGTGTTTCAGTAGTGACAATTTAATGTTACACACTTGTTTTCAGACTCTGGGACACATTTACTTCAAAACAATGGGCTCACTTTGTGGCCATGAGGGACAGTGATGCAGTTTTACTTCCTGCTCTAAAATGCAGGGGTGTGGCTAAAATAAGGCTCCGCCTATGGACCAAAGCTCTTTGTGTTTTGGAAGTGATAAGAAAATATGGGACAGCATTTTGTGAATAAAGTTAATTTTATTTTAAAATGAAACTGATGATAAATCTAAGCCATTCAGCTTCACTTTAAAAGAAAAAAAGTTTTTAAAAAGATTGTTTTGATCTTTTTAGAAGGACACTGAAAAAGAACAGGCCAAAAAGTCAGTATTATATTATTTTATTAGTTATTAAGTTAATAACATATTGGGACATACACCTTCCAATAGAAAGCACTGTATAAATGTTTTTGTTTGTATTCAGTATATTACTATCTCAATTAATGCCCTGGGTTTAAATAGATCACAACACCATCATTGTAAATAACTAAGACCTGAATACTTCATTGTTTTTTTTTATTTATACTGCTGGACTGCAGTTTGAACTAATTCAGCAGAATGGTCCATATACACTCACTGGCCACTTTAGCAGGTACACTCATCTTATATCTACAGTCAGCTCCACTTATATAGGAGCACTTTGTAGTTCTACCATTACAGACTGTAGTCCATCTGTTTCTCTGCATAGGTTGTTATCTGCCTTTTGCCCTGTTCTTCAATGGTCAGGACCTCCACAGGACCACCACAGAGCAGGTACTATTTGGGTGGTGGATCATTCTCAGCACTGCAGTAACACTGATGTGGTGGTGGTGTGTTAGTGTGTGTTGTGTTGGTACGAATGGATCAGACACAGCAGTGCTGTTGGAGTTTTTAAACACTGTGTTCACTCACTGTCCACTCTATTAGACACTCCAACCTTGTCAGTCCACCTTGTAGATGTAAAGTCAGAGACGATAGCTCATCTGCTGCTGCACAGTTTGTGTTGGTCATCCTCTAGTCCTTCATCAGTGGTCACAGCACACTGCCCACAGGACGCTGTTGGCTGGATATTTTTGGTTGGTGGACTATTCTCAGTCCAGCAGTGACACTGAGGTGTTTAAAAACTCCAGCAGCACTGCTGTGTCTGATCCACTCGTACCAGCACAACACACACTAACACACCACCACCATATCAGTGTCACAGCAGTGTTGAGAAATATCCACCACCCAATTAATACCTGCTCTGTGATCTTCCTGTGGGGGTCCTGACCAATGAAGAACAGGGTAAAAGGGGGCTAACAATGTATGCAGAGAAACAGATGGACTACAGTCTGTAATTGTAGAACTACAAAGTGCACCTATATAGTAAGTGGAGCTGATAAATTTATTTAATAATATTGTTATTCCCAAACTACTTGAAATATTGAATACACCATCCAAAAATACTTTCTGGTGTATTAAATCTATCATGTTATAATTGTACAAAAGAAAAAATTATGATGATTCCAAGTGATTTAAACTTTTGAACAGCAGTGCACATGAATTGGGCAGTTTGAATCCACAAAGGCTATTACGAGGGAAGTACTTACTACTGGAACACAGCCGTGGTACACATATTATAAAGACATTCCTGTGTAACCTTAAAATAAAAGGGAATGCCAAGATTTTCAAAATGTCTGTCAAACTCATTCATTGGAAACAAGGATATTCAGAGTGATTTTTGTGAAATTATGTATTGTGGAGAAACTTGCTAATCAGATTTTCTTCACAGTGTTTTTGATAGGAACCAGTTTTATAACTATTATAAAATAATGTCTCAGGCCTCAAACAATGTATTCGTAACTATTTCATGTCATGTTATTCTGAGGGAGCTTTTAGAGGCATTAGACGCTTCGGACGTCTGGTTTCCATCACCACCACTGTAAACGATTCTGACTCAATTCTGTAAGTTTCTCTAGAATGATGAATTTCATATCACACCACTCTAAATGAGTTTGTTTACAACTTGGAAAGTTTGTTGAAAGCTTGGTGTCCCCTTTAAAAGGAATACTCCAGTCTTTTTCAGTCTTTCTGAAAAACTCCAGTCTTTCTGCTGCAGAATAGAGAACATGTACAATAGAAGCCAATGGGGAGATGCTTCTTTTACTTTTTACTTTATTGTTGCATGCTACAGATGTGGCAGATAGAAATTAGGTTGAAAAATACTGGAGTATTCCATTAATTTGAAAAGACGGAGAATGAACATTTCCCCCAGGCACTTTGTTCATCCACCTACCTGCAACTTGAGTCATTTTACTGACAAAGAAAAAAAAGATTAGAGTTCCTGATTTGAAAGCCTGCTTCAAACTACTTGTATGTAACCCAGGAATAAGGTAGTGGACAGTGAGGACACATTCAGAGATGGACACAATCAGACACACACACATCAAATCGGGGAGTATTTTTGACCAGTGCGTAGCCAAGACACAGAACAACTGAAGTGAGTGGGCCTTTCTTGAGACGTGATTAAACAGAACGTTCTCAATTTTGTCTGAATGATCCAAAAATAAGCGGCGTGTGGGCATGCCACATGACTCAGGGAGGGGTGACTCAGGGATGGCGCTTATGAGTGGTGGACAGGAGTGAAATGTGAAATTACTACAAATGCACACAGTTGCACACGGATGGGCGATTAAAAGCTGTGGGAGTTACATAAAACGTGGGAGGGTGACACAGAAAACAATTCGCACTTACTTTGGCGTCCTACACATTACGTCAAGCACAAAGTAAAGAGAGAAGTGAGGGATGAGAAGAGATGTCTCACTCGAAAGCCTGCTGCTCCGTAGCCACACTGAGCCAATCTGAACTCTACAACTCTCAGTTCTTTAAGCTGCCCGAGAATCAGAATCGGAAACGACCAATCCAGGCTCTGCCCACAAATACGATCTTTCATAGCAAGCTGACCAAAAACCCATTCGGCCTATTGAGACATTGCAGCAAATCAATTTTTGCAATAATGCACAATAATAGCCTAACATTTAAAGTGTGATTAATTCAATTTTTATTTATTTTGTATGTGTATCAAAAATCACACTGTTAGAATAGATCAGTCAAGCTAATGCTAGCATGATAGCAAATTACCTACAACATACTCCTCCTTGGAGGCAAAGCATTTTAAAATGGAAATCCAATTTTATATAGGGACTCATAAATACATTATATTGAATGGGATTCTGTAAAGCTTATCCAACCTTGCAACAGTCATGTTCCAAGAAAGTATTTGTGGTAGGCATATGGATCAGTCAAGTAATAAATCACATACAAGGAATCTTTCAGTAGATCACAAGGGCCCATATCATAAAAACTTTCTTTGCTTTTTTTAATATTAAAAAGTTTGCTGTAATATGAGAAAGTTTAAAAAAGTCAGTTTGTCAGTTCACACAATTCATGAATGAAAAATAAGCTGCAAAACAATTTAGGCTACAGCAGTATAGCACATTGAAGTGATAAGAAGTGTTGTTACTGTGGACAGTCTATGGCAGAGTTATTAGAGGGGAAACTGATTAAATGTTGTAAAGGATCCAGATGTCTGAAAATTGCAGCGTATTAAAAACGGCAGACATTTACATATATTAGTCTAAAGACAGAGTAATAAACATAGCCTGCTAAGTTGGAAAATGGACATACAGAAATTAATTTTGACTAAATAAAACTACACAAACATTATACATGGACTTCAGATAGAAAGCACAATGCAAGAAAAATATGGGCCCTTTAATACAAATACAGTAAAGAGTAAATGAATAGAATAAAGGAGGAACAAAATCCTAAAACATTATCAGTTATACTCAGTAAAGGGCAAGCACTCTTTCGGGGAATCCAGTTGAGAATTGGCTCAGTCTGTTTGGGAGCACAGGCAGTTGGCTGCTCTTCATCCAGTGCAGTCAGCTATGGGGCGATGGAGCCCATTTCCACATATTGATTCTCTCCTCAGAGGCTTAGACTCTCACTCAGCCAGGTTTTTAACGTTTGGCACCAAGCGTGTGCATCTCTCACCAATAATGCTGAATCATTTATGACCACTGGGCCCTGCAGCTCCCCACTGCATTAAAAACAAACCCATTAAAGGGGCTCTAGAGCCTTGGGAGGCCTATAGCCATATATGTGCCTGTGGACACATTGCTTGACATCTACATTCTGAGACAGCAGTACTTCTGACACTCTTAAAGGAAGAGTTCAGTGAAAAATCAAATTCACACAACTTTCCCCTTACCCCAAATACAGTCAGTCAGCCAAGAGGTTTGCTTCTCTAGTTTTGCTCAGGAGCTACAAGGCTTAAGTAGGCACACAATTCAGCCTTCAAAATGGCTTCTATACCTGTTTTTTAGCAATGCAACATACTTTTGTTCATTTTTTAGAGCCATACAGAATCAGAAACCACACATGCGATGACTATAGTTTCTATTGCTTGAAATGTTAACCTCATAGCTCCAGTGCAAAGCTAAAGAAGTAAACATATCTTGGCTGTCATAAATTTGCATGTATGTCATATAGTGAACTTTATTAGTAATTTTAAAACGTATGCTTCAGTGGTGACTGGTTTCCACTTCTTCCACTGTTTTGAAGCAGCTAACTGATGTGGAACCCACTGCTCTTGGGGGGGAATGTCCTCTCAGAAAATTTTCCTACTTCCTCAGCTCATATCAAGCACCATCTTTCAGTTGCAAAAATCAACCCCAACTCCCCGGCTCATATGATGGAGCGTTTTCAGTTCAATGGGGTCACTTTATTTTTCTTCTTTAATAAAACAGAATAAGAAACATGAATTTTTAACAGAATTATTAAAACTAATCACATTTTTGCTCTTAATAATTAACTCTAATTAATATTGTAGCAGGGACAAAGTTTTGATAGTCAAACAAAAATCTACTTGCTATGATTTCATCATCCTCATTGCAATTTGACAGTGTTCATTCAGAAAGTGTACAAAGATACTAGAATCTGGTTAGAGGTCTTTCTACTTCAGTTCATAAAATAATGCATTTTGACTTGTTCCATGTGTACTTTATGGCTGTGGGTGCTGGGCAACAGATACATTTAATCAATGTTATTATCTTGCAGTTCTGTTATATTGTATTTCATCATGTGCACTGTAATAATGGCAAATGTTTGCCTTTATTTTACTGATTGGAGCCCATGTGCAAAATGAACGACTGAGACGGGTGTCAGTAAATAGTGAGTACAGGCTAAAGTGCCTAAAGTAATTTATCACTATAAAGACTACAGAACATCTGCAGAGCAGATCAGTAACAGCTGAGTAACACTGTGTGTGTGTGCAGTGTTGCAGCATCTAACTCAGTTATGCTGCTGTGAAACACCAATAACTGTGATGAGACTGAAGTGCTTCAGTGCTGCCCTCAGTCAGCAGCTTTCTCCATAAAATCATCTGAGCAGTGGTTCAACCTGTACCGGCGTATATCCTAGCAATAATATTTTGCTAATTGGATGAACAACAGGTTTACGTCAAATATATCATAAACACTTACCAACGTTTAGACAGAAGTCAGAGACCACCCTATATTTATTTAATTTCCAATCAAAACAGCCTTGAATGTTTTGATTGGAACACCAATTTTTCTGGGTCAGAAAAAATCAGGAAATGCATATTTAACAGAAAACTACACAACAGTCTTCAACATTAAGCATGATATCAAATCTATCAGTATTTAATTTGTCCACTCTTCACCTACGGCATCTACTGCCACTTGAACTTTTCCATCCTTACAAATTTAAAACCGAGTTACAGCTTTGCCCTCCCAAAAAAAGCTGTTCCCAAAGACGTCAGTGATATTATGTTCCCCTTCAAAAACACGCTAGCATTCACATAAACAACTATCCAAACCCACTTCAGTTGCCTTACAAATTTATTTCTCATGTGCATCTAAAATGTCTAAAGGAAATATTTCTAAAGAAATTAGTAAAAGAAGGGAAAGTCAAAGAAAAATAAATTAAATTGAAGGGTTTCCAAAACTTTTAATAATTTTAATAATCTTTTAATAAATTATTAAAAGATATAGAGAAAATAGGACGCCTAACAATGCAAGACCTGGCAGACCACCAAAACTGTCCCCATCAGATGAACAGTAAAAAAGCAAGATCTGAAAATAAATCAAGATCTGAATCAAAAATCCACAGGTGTTTCTGGGCATCTTTCCACTGTAAGAAGACAACTCAACACTATGGGTCTGAACAGATGTGTAGCTGTCATGAAGCCCTCACTGAGAAAAAGAAACAGATAAGAAAAGCACCAGAATGCCAAACTAAACATTTGAGGAGTAAAGAATAAGGTTGAGTCTAAACTTGTAATTAGCATTATATCGTGAGAAGCTGAAAAGCAAATTCTATGACTGAACTTTAGAGTGGAAAAACATCCCTGCATATTTCTTTGAAAAGCAGAAAGAAAGTCTCCTGAAAAAGTGAAAGCTGTAATAAAGGCAAAGAGTGGAAATTTATATTTCTGTGCATTTCTGTTTGACTGAAAATTAAATAAATGAAAGGGTGGCTTCTGACTTCTGCACAGTGCTGTACAACCATTCACTCAATTCAGTATAGTTCTGCATCTTAATGACAGGAATGCATTTTGATCTGTTCCACATTTTCGCCTTGGGCTTGGGATATGATTCATCCATATCAAGAGAGCAGGCTAAGCCAACACTTTAGAATACAGCATATCAAAGTATAATAGTTGTACATTAAACCTGGCATTAAAGGAATACTCCAGCATCTGATGCATACGGTTCAATACCAAAGACACTAATTCCTGAAGTAACGTCCCATTGGACGTTATCTATTATAAGAGTCTTTGAATCAACAGGTTCTCAGTTTTCTTTTATGTACAAAAAAAAGTGTAGAAATCATTGTGCATGGGATTCAACTGCATGATACAGATGCAGTAGATGCAGATAAGGCTGAAAAACTGTGGAGGATTCCTTTAACAAAATGTCAATGGTAGTTTAAAACCATACAAACACGGTGTCAAACACATAGCAAGCATCACACTCATTTACATTTATGATAAGATGCACGTAGACTCCAAAATTAACTCTTTATCTTTGTGTAATTAATTTGTGGCTTTGAATAAAGCAGACTGAATAAATGCAGAAATGCAGATTACCAGCCCGAGGTTACTGACAGTGCTGCCAAAAAGGACCACCAGGGGTCGTGGTCACAGAAATTCCGCACACAGGTACAGGTAGAAGAGTGATGAAGGTAGACATGGGGTGTGAGCATGTGCATGAGAGAGAAGCAGAGATACAGAGAGATACTGCGAGAGAGAGAGAGAGAGACAGAGCGAGATAGAGAGAGAGGATGTGTGAATGTGTGTAGGATGAATGTGGCGCTAACACACAAACACACACACACAGGATGACGATGAGACTGGAGACCCCAGAGATGCTGCGTTCTTATAGGACGGCGGTGGAAGAGGAGGGAGGGGCCAGCAGGAGCACCATGCAGGAGAGGGAGGGGCTCAGCATGCATGATGGACAACCACCAACAGCAGCGACAGCCAATCAGTACACAGGCACATTAAAGTACTCATGTCGGGGCTGAGGGAGAGAGAGAGAGAGAGAGAGAGAGAGAGATGCACAAAAACACAGAAACACACATGAAATAAAAGTCTCAAAACAGTGCAAGCTTACGGACGAACCTTTATGCAACAGTTATCATACCTAGAGAAGAGAAGACAAAGCGCAAGGCACGAGACAGCAGGCAGTGGACAAAGGGAATTAGACAAGTGCTACATACGCACACACACAGTGTTGGGTGATACATTGTCTATCCCGGTATGCTGGTGCTGATGTCACACAATACTGATTTTCAGTTCAGCTCAATTACATATTGATTAGCTCACCGGACAAAAACTTATTTGACTTAATGCAGGCGAAGTTCACTGTAAACAAAGTCATTCGAAGTGGTCTGATAAGAAATGGTTCATTACAGAGAAACTTGCCGGCTTACAGTGGTGCTGATAGGAACCAGGGATCGCAATGTCTACAACACAAAAACTGCTATTTCATTATCCATCCAAAGCAAGTGGTGAACTTACACCTCTTCTGAGTTTTTACATGTAATGTTGATAATGGAAAAACAGAGGTAAATCTGAAGAAAGTTATTTTGGGAGACTATTTTGCCTTACAACACCCTCTATGTACTTCACCAACATGAATGGATTCATAAAAATATGTCTCAAGCCAAAAACCTCTCAAAAACCTAAATCAATGTCTCAGACATCAGGCAGCGTATTTGTAACCGTTTCATGAAATAACTTTGTGCAAACTCTTCAGATGTCTGGTTTCTATCACCACCACTGTGAACAATTCTGTATCAGTAAGTTGCTCCAGAATGGAGCATTTTACATCAAACCACTCTGAATGGCTTTCTTTATACCTTACCCATTTAATTATGCAGAATATTTCACAAATCAGTCAAACTACCCTTTAACTTGGAGATGGAAAGTAGGAGCTTGGAATTGCATAATTTTTCGACCTCCACGTTTGATTGACAAAGTGGAAAAAATATGGATGCCTTCATGTGGATGAAGGCTAGTACTGTTAGCAACATGCTAGCCAGGGAACGGTGATATATTCACCTTCCTAAAACACCAAACTTCATGGTCAGTATTATCCAATGAAACCGCTACTCTGTATATATGTTTTCTGATCTAAAGCAAATCTCATTTAAAATGAGAGAAGTGGTACTTTATTACTACTGACCATGTGAGCAGCCACGTTTCTATCACATGATACACTGAACTTGGAGTTGAGAACATCATCTGACTTTCTGAGTAGGAATTCTCAGTAGAGGGGGGCGTATTCTTTGATTTTCCCTAACCAGAGGTCAGAACATCCAAGTTAGGAGCTGTAGTCAAACACAGCATTAGCCGCATAAATCATTTCTTTTCTAATACTTGTTTATGTACACATTCCCTTGCCTTAATAACAGTGCCAGTCCTGTCAGGCAAGGATGACACCAGTCTTTTGAGATTACTGTCCATTCTAGCCCACTCTTCCACAAACTAGCTGCACATTTCAGCTAGAGCTCCTGTGTGCCTGTTTCAGCATTACACCTGCTGTTCCACATTGAGAACTGAGAGTGAGGTCTGGTGAATTGCTGGTCAGTCAAACTGTCCAAGTGTTCCATCATGTCTGTTGAACCAGTCACACAGAGACACAGACACCTTACAGATGTTGTTTTCTGCTCAGACATGAAGCACAAAGTTTGTGGAAGCGTGGGCAAAAATAGACAGGAAATGGACAACTCCAGAGACTGGTATAATCCTTAACTGACAGAACTGGTGCTGTCATTTAACCAAGTGCTAACTCATAACCAAGTTTTAGAAAAGTGTGACTACTTAGAAAATGTGGCTATTTTGTCCAGTGAGCTTAGACAATGAGTATTATATCACTGTATGTCAATCAACATTCTATTCCATGAAATTCCTGTTGCTAGGCTATTTTTTAGTGTTTTATTTCTATTTTGTGATGTTCATGACCATAAAATAAATAAAGTCAACCTGAAATCAAAACTGACCTCTTTTTACCTCTTAGTTCATTTACCTTGTCTGGTTAAACACAATTCAAGGCATCATCTCATTTAAAAAACAAAATTCTTCCTCTAATATACCATGTAAAATGTAATGACTTTTGCCCACCTCTAAAATGTCTTATGAGTTTTATTTACATCACTACGCACCAGTTAGCTCACTATGCACCAGACAGCTAGCTCAGAGACCCTCCCTGATATTGTGTTATGATAAGGAAGGAAAATGCATTATGATTTCCAATTATATTTCCAATACGATTTCCACGATTGACTTTAATTGCAATATGTTTCATGTGTTGGCTGCTTCAAATTGTTTTCAAAAAACAGTTCAAACCATGACCATGAAACCATGTTAACCATGAAAAATTCTAAATAACTAAGTGGACCTACATTAATAGAAATACCTACTAGAAATAGTAGGTCCCCTTTTTGGAAATCTGTTTTCCGTTTAGTTAACAATTACAGTATAATGTGTAAGGTTTTCTTTGCAGTCATTTTAACATCATCAAATATGATGATGCTGTGATATAATATAATGGTACTGAATTTTTTCAATACCACCCAGCACTATAACAAACACAAAATGTGAAGAACCCAGAGACAGAACAAAAAAAACAGTATTTTCCAATCCAAGTCCTGGAGCACTCTAGTACTCTTAGTTTAGAGTTTTGTCCGCTCTAGCACACTTGATTCTTAAACAGCTAACTAATGGCTTGAAGTGAAACAGCAGGACAGCACAAAAGTCTGGCACCTCAGGATTGGAACAGGTGAAACATTCTAGCACTCTGAATAATTAAATACCTACAGCAAAAGCTCCAACAGATTCTAACACATCTCACAATATAGGTCACCAGCTTAAGGCGTTCACACCCACCACAGTGTGATGTACGCAAAACAGGCAGTTTCAAAAACAGCCTCTATGCTCACTGGGCCTTTATGAAGGCTTATTCTTCCAAAAGAGTCCCAATGTTCATACAAGAGTATTGTGGAAACACAGTATTCACTGTGTTCTAGGTCACTGTTTCTCAGTTTCTGTCCTGCCTTAACCACACAGTTCAGTGCTGCAGAGGTTTTGTCTGAACTATCACACAAGTCAAATCATCAGCCAATTTTCAAACTCTTCAGGAGTCAACCTGGGTATGTGAGAGTGTGGAAAACATGAAACATGCAGGTAAGCCCTTAGGACTGGAATTGAGAAACACTGGCTAAATGCAAACTGCAAGCTGGACTCATGTTTAATTTACTCCCTGTGACCTGCTAAGTACTTCAAACGAGCTGAAAAACTAATCTGTGCTTCCCAAAGCAGTCTTATTGCTGCCGTTGCAAAACACCAACCTATTTATTTTATTTAGCATAAACAGAATTAATGTATTTTTTAAGTAATTTCTACGTTCTTTTCTTGACTGCATTCTGTACCATAAGCTTTAAAAAGCACCAGGCCTGCCTGAGGCAGCAGAACATCTGCTCAGGCCCATGTGTTTCCTTAATCAAATGAAATCCTACAACAGAAAAAGGACAACAAAAGTACTGTGTATTCCGAATGTTAGACAGTGAAAAAGAAGGGAACGAGAAACTGGATCTGGCTTTGGGTAAATACTCTCTATGGGGAAGGAATGAGTGCACTACTGGTGCTACAGAATCGCTAGAGCAGTGGTCCTCACAATATTTTTACAAGCTGGCAGAACCTTTACTTCTTCCTCGTATAGCTGTCAAAGGGATATTTAGCATTATTTGATTTTCTCTTAATTAGCCAAAAGAATTCCAGTCGTTTTCAGACATGCTGTTTTTATAAGCCTACATCGCTAATTTTTACTCCTATAAACCAACTACTGTAGCTGCCCTTATGACATGTTGCTTTTACTTAGCACTGACAAGCAGTTCAGTCTAAATTACACTATCATAGCAACTATTTTCTGGCTAATACTAAATTCAATTAAGTTTTGGATTCCATAATGTATTGGTATTTAAAATATTCTCTGAATATTCATTCAGCTTTATAATTCTACATAAAAAAAACAGTCACATGCATCATTTCATCTCTAATATTTGGTTAAGCATCCAATTGCTTTAAAGACAGTGCCAATCCTGCTACCAGTCTCTTGACCATTTTAACCCACTCTTCCATGAACTTTGTGTTGAACAAAACATTGACACTCCCACATTCCAGGGTGTCAACTGTAGGGTGTCTGTATGTAAAGATGGGCGGATGTGTGTGCACTACACACATTTAAAAACTCTAGCAGATTGCGAAAACTGAAAGCGAAAACTCGTGATCTCCTGATGATAGGGCCAACGCTTAGACGGTTGCGCCACTCGGGAGCCCCAACTGCAGTTTAAATCAGGCTAAAAATCATGTAATGTAGGTCCACTTAGCTGGTTAAACACACATTATGAAACACTGTCATGTTTTGACCAGCTAATCAGCAAAATCACCAAACAAATCAAATTCCAATTACCACTTTGGAACAGCAGGTGAAAGCAAGTTAAGTAGGTAAACACAAACTGGCTGAAAGGTGCACCTAGTTCATCTTGAAATCTCAAGAGACTGGTCTCTTCTTACCTTATAGGATTGATGCTGTTATTAAAGCAAGACAAGAATTAGAAAAGAAATGATGCATGCGACTAATATTTTGTCCAGTGAGTTTACTTTTTGAATAGATTCTGTCGGAAAGCATATGTTGTTCGCACCAAAATGCCGAAAGGATACCAGGAACTTATGGACCACCGTTCTAGTGATGAAACCTGCCAACAGGCACATATTTAGATGCACTTTTACACATACACTGAGCTACTGTACCTAAAGGACACTCCATTATGACTATATTCATGTGACAGTTTGTCACCTATGCTTCTCCACAGTGACAGATCAACGGTAAGAGTTACTCTACTAAGACTAGAGGGCTCTAGAGGAGGAATTCCCAGTTAGACATGAAGCATTCACCATATTCATCATATTCACCTGGGCTGCTTTAGCTCTGGAACAGACCAGAGGACTCGGCAGACA